GGAAGGGAATTGGAGAGCATTCCGAGCGGGCCTGTGGGGGCCGCAGCCCAGAGTGGTGCGTTTCGCTCCGCCCTGTTGTTGCCCTCCAGCACCCATTTGTGGGTGGTGGTCTTCGWTTCCCTGAAAACGGCACGTAAGGTCRTCCCTCCGGTTTGTGTGGTCGCCGCCTTCCGTTCGCTCCCATCRGCTTGAGGTGGGCTTGCGGTTGGGCGTGTCGGCCTCGATCTGTGGAGGTATGTCGGGCTTTGCCTTTTGATCTCAGGTCGGGCGGGAGCACCCGCCCAGTTTAAGCAGATTACTAAGCGAAGGAAGAGGAACCAATGAGGATTCCCTTGGTAGCGGCGAGCGAACCGGGAATAGCCCAGACTGAAAATCCGGGGGCTGTGCTGCTCCCTGAATTGTAGTCTTGAGAGGCAACCTCTGCAGCGGGCCGTGTGCAGGTTCCCTGGAAGGAGACGCCGAAGAGGGTGACAGCCTCGTCGACCGTCGGACCCTGCTGCGCAACCAGCTGTTGTCCAAGAGTCAGGTTGCTTGGGAATGCAGCCCCAATTGGGTGGTAAGTCCCATCCAAGGCTAAATATGTGCGAGGGACCGATAGCGAAGAAGTACCGCGAGGGAAGGATGAAAAGAACTTTGAAAAGAGAGTTAAAGAGTGTTTGAAATTGCCGAGCGAGAAGCGGATGGAGGGGAAGTTGTGCGCTCCCGTCTGGGCATGGGTGGATGGCGAATGTATTGCCGCCCCCCTTGTTGGACGTGGGGCGCCTGCCAGCATGGGATGCTGTGATCGGTATTGCGGTGGGGAGTGATTGAAACCCCCCACGGGGGGCCGTCACAGCAGTCGAGGACCTTGAGCACGCGCCTCTTTCGGCGGGCCCCTTCGGGTTCCTACGTGTTCGGGATGTTGGCGAAATTCCTCTATCGTGCCGGTACTGAAACACGGACCGAGGAGTTAAACGTGCACGTGGGTCGGTGGGTGATTAGCCCGTGAGGCGGAAGAAACCTGAGTGGCGGGAACCCTCTGCGGGTGCAYCGTCCGCCAACCACGATCTGCTGTGAGAGGTTTGAGTGTGAGCATGCCCGTTGGGACCCGAAAGATGGTGAACTATGCCTGAGCAGGGCGAGGCCAGAGGAAACTCTGGTGGAGGCTCGCAGCATTACTGACGTGCAAATCGTTCGTCGGACTTGGGTATAGGGGCGAAAGACTAATCGAACCGTCTAGTAGCTGGTTCCCTCCGAAGTTTCCCTCAGG